AACAATGGCTCATCTTTTTAAAGTCTGAATTTGAAATACATTTGTAGGTGGATTTTATTTTTTATTTTTTTGGCAATATGCCATTCGGTAATCTTAAGAGTTGAAAAAAAAAATAGCCTCATGTTTATCTGGACAGCTGGGGCATAAAAGGCCTAAATATAATTTTGACTGGAGAGTAAATGACCACATAAAGCAAAGACCTGTCACAAAAGCTTTTATTGGGTTTATTTTACTTTTATTGTGCTTACCCCTGCTTGAGCTCAGCTCTGCATTATTTCTTGTTCTTCATGTGGGCATTAGTTATCAACTTTATAGAGAATATTGATTTAACTGTAATTTTATAAAAAATGGCACAAGTACTTTGTACTATTGGATATAAATAAAACATCCATAAGCAGTGAAATGACTTACAGTAATTCATAAATCAAAGTTCCATATTGTAGGACAAAGTCTTTAAATTATAAAGCAACAGGGATTGATACCTTTTGAAATGTGGTGTTGTGGAGCAAGCTAAATTTCCATAAATGAAGGAGTTTTTCTCTCAACTCCTTTTTACCTTTGATTCTTTGTGGACTGTTATAAAGCTTCTTTATTTTACTTGAACCCAATAGAACATCCCAAGTTCCTCATTCTGAAAACTCCGGTCATCAGTGAAGAGGCTGGCAAGGGGTGTGCAGGTTAACGGCTTTGCCTAGCTCACCTCTTGGGCTGTTTCATCAAATCCAGAAGCAATTCCTTTTCTTTTTTCACCACTGCCCTTAGCAAAAGGGGAAAGAAAAACCCTTTAGAAACTAGTCATTGCTCTTAAGACGCCATAAACAAAGATAAAGAAGCAAACTCATCATCCTGGGGTGAATTTTTGACTGAAGACCTTACTTGTCTATAACCTCTAGAGACATAATTATCTAACTTTATATAGAGCTGGTATTGGGATTGCCAGATGGGTTCACATTCAGGAAAGAATCTGTTTTTCTGTGTGTGTGTGTTTTATTGTGTTTTTTTTTTTTAAAAATGTGTATGTGAGTTAAGATAGTCACACAAATGGTTTGTGCAAATCAAAGTTAATACCAATACCAAAGGACATGTTTCTAGGAGTGCTGGCAAACCTTTTGAGCTCGGCGTGTCAGCATTTTGAAAAACCCTAACTTAACTCTGGTGCCATGTCACATATAGAATTTTTTTGATATTTGCAACCATAGTAAAACAAAGACTTATATTTTTGATATTTATTTTATATATTTAAATGCCATTTAACAAAGAAAAATCAACCAAAAAAATGAGTTTGCGTGTCACCCCTGACACGTGTGTCATAGGTTAGCCATCACTGGTCTAGAGGTTCTTACAGCACAGAAATTTTTCCTGTGTTTTCTCAGATTATTTATTGATCACTCTCTATGTGCTCTTACCATAATCAATATGGGCCCTTCCCTCAGGAAGAGGGAGAAAATTAAGATTTCATGAATTACATGGACTATTAATTGTCATGAATTCATGCAATGCATTTACTTTTCAGGGCAGAGGATGGACCAGTGAACTAGTTAGTTAAGATCTCTGGTTTCAAAAAAGTTACATTCTAATAGAAGAGGCAGATCATAATCAAGGAAATAAGATAATTTCAGATAATATTAAGTGCCATGAAGAAAAAATTTTAAAGGCTGATGTGATAGACAAGGCTAAGGAAGGGGACACTTCTGAGAAGGGAATATTTGTATTGAATCCTGAATATTAAGAAGGAAACAGCTAATGGAAATGTAAGAAGAAGAATATTCTAATAAGAGAACAGTAAATGCAAAAGCCCTGAGTTCTATACCATACTATAGTCTTTAATCCTCTCTAGGTTTCTGTTAGGCAAGAAGTATTAGTCTAATTTTATTGATGACAAAGAAGCACAGAAACTATGTGAGTTCATTCAGCTGCTAGGCAGGATGCCATGCCATGAGCTCAGAATTATCTTGCTATTTCTACTTCCCATGCTACTTCATTGGATCTGTGGAAGACAGTTGAATGAATGAACTACTTTCCTTCAGGGAAGTATGGTGTTTGGAAATGCCCTCAGTATGATCTGTTCTGCCAAAAGTTACATGCAAAAATATAAATAATTAGAATCTCAAAATCTTCTTATAAGCTGTATTGACATTTTTTGCCAGCATTTAATATTTGAGTCGGTATTTGGAAACAAATGAAACCAAGCACCTTTTTGATCCCTCTTTGGGTGTGATGAGAAAGGTATAGTTGGATTTTTTTTCATGGGTTTGTAAAAGTCTGTTAATACTGAGACTGTCTCTGAACTCTGACAAATTCCAAAAGAAAAACTCAAACATCTTCAAGTCAGCCTTGTCTAGATCTACTATTTTCAATTATTATTATTATTTTTTGTCTGTGGTTTCTGGCTTATTCTCTTATTAGCGAATGGTTAGATAAGAAAACAGTATAGCAGAGATAATGAAAGTGTGTACTTCCTCCCATTTCTCTTAAATATTTGAGTGCCCTTGTGAAAAAAATACACACTACTATGGTTATTTAAGACAGTGCCTGTATTTAGCATTTAATCATGATTATTCTCATTCCTGGAGTCTAAAGAAATAGCAACAGTCATCTGTCTGTACATACCAAGTACTTAATATTTCCAGGGGAAGATAAATGCTGTCATCTATTACTGTAATTTTTATAGTGTTTGATATCAAACATTATATTTTAGTTTATTACTATGTGTTTTCACTAAGGAGTAAGGGAGCTAGATCATGTAGGCCTTGTGGTATTGCTGTAAGGACTTTGGCTTTTACTCAAAGGGGACGAGAAGCTGTTAGAGGGTGGTGGGCATGAGTGCCTTGATCTGACCTATGTTTTTAACAGAACCAGTCTGGCTGCTTTTTTCAGTACAGGCCAAAGGGTGGGTGACTGGAAACAAGGAGATGAGAGAGCTGGCATAGCAATAATCTGGATGAGTGAATTGTGCCTGTGTTTGGGGGTGATAGAATGTGCCAGGGACAAGAAACTAGGCATCAATCTGGCGTGAACTTGGTTTTTCATATCCCCAGGTCCTGGAATCATTTTTTCGAGTGTAGAAGGAACTCAGTAATTCTTGTTGAATGAATGGATGGATGGATGGATACATGGAAAAATGGACATTCACGTTTATGGCTTCCATCTTCTCCCCAACTGTTTATTACTTAGTTTTAAGATCTAAGCTACTTGTCTTATCCTCTCATTTAAAACATCAAAGTAAAAGAGAAGCAAAAGCAAAGTAGCTAAGTTCCTTCTTAAATTTAATTGAATTCAACAAGTTTCTTTCTTTTTTTTTTTTCAAGTGCTTTTATGTAATGACTTCTTTGGGATATTAAGGACATCAAATGCCAACAGAATGTTCCAAGACATGAGATGAGATTATTGCTTCGGGTCAGGGCTATGCCGCAGCACCAGAATTACTTTAAAATTAAAATTGCGACATAGGATTTAATTTCCCCCTCAGCAGGGCAATAACCTTTCAGTGAATCAGACGTGGCTGTTCTGCTTACTATAAATGGGACCATGTGGCCATAACCTTACAAAACGCCTAAACGACAGACTGTATTAAAAAGTTTGGGGACAAGGGGCACAAGAGTGCATTTAGCATGCAACTTTTTGTGTAAGGAAGTGGAGAAATAAGAAGACACAGATAACTATTTGGATGTACACAAAGAAACACTGACTAGAGACAGAAGCAACCACTGCCTGGCTGTGCGTATAGAGGGCAGAGGCTAAACTGGAGAAATGGAAGCAAAGTTATTAACAGATGGCTTTTCTATCATTTTGATAACTGATCATGTGAATTATTACCTAATCAATGAATAAGTAAATAAAACAACATCATTTTTTAAAGTGTCAAGGAGAAAAGAAGAGAATGGGGAAACATTAAGTAGGAAATTGCCTCAAAAGTGTTCATTTGGGCCCAGCCAGGATGGCTCAGTGGTTGACCATCAACCTGTGAACCAAGGGGTCACAGTTCGATTCCCAGTCAGGTCACATGTGTGGTTTGCTCGCTCAAACCCCAGTAGGGGGTGTGCAGGAGGAAGCCAACCAATGATTCTCTGTCATCATTGATGTTTCTATCTCTCTCTCCCTCTCCCTCCCTCCCTGAAATAAATTATATATATATTTTTAAAGTGTTCATTTCGTCAGTTTTCCAGACTTCAGAAACTGCATTTGAGTCCCAACTTCTCCAATGATAACATGTATGTGTGAAAATATTGGTAAATAATAACTGATCATGCCACGTTCTATTTTCCTTAAAGAATGAAGAAGTTCTGGCCTGAGGCTGCTGATGCTTAAAGGACTAGAAAGGCCAGATGAAGAAAGTCAATCTGTGAGGACGCCTGGGAGTCCTTTGGTCCTTTCAGAGGCTAAAAGAAATAAAATACGCCCTGGCTGTTATGCTAAGTGGTTAGCGCCCCCCCCCCCCCCCCCCCCCAACACACACACATACCTAAGGGTTGTGGGTTTAATTCTGGTCAAGGGCACATACCTGGGTTTTAGGTTTGATCGCCGGCCCAGTCTGGATGTTTGCAAGAGACAACTGATTGATGTTTCTCTCTCTCTCTCTCTCTCTCTCTCCCCCTCCCCCCTCCATTCCCCGCTTCTACCCTCTCTCTAAAAATCAACGGGAAAAATATCCTGGGGTAAGGATTAACAACAACAACAAACCAAAAAAAGAAGTAAAATGCTATTGTGGGAATTGTATGCTTTCAAAAGGGGTTATAAGAACCTGGGGTTTGGCCACATCCCCGTCCTCCCCTGTGCTGCTGAAAAAGCTCAGGGGCGTCCAGCACGTTACACACCTGCAAGGCTCAGCCCCAAGCGGCATGCACACACGTCACAGACGCTCCGCACCTGCCCCTAACAGCTGTGAAATCTGCCCCGGCCCTCCCCTTAGGTAAGGCACTTCAGCACTCAGGATAACACCTGTCCCTTACAAAGAGTTTATGTTTTCCAGAACATTTTCACCTGACATATTTCACCATATGGATTCATAGAAGCTGAAAACTGCAAGAGATCTCAGATGCTATGACCCCTGCATAACAGAGGGAGAAATTGAATCCGAGAGAAGTGGCCGCTTTGTCTAAAAGCAAACAGCTATTAGCAGCAGAGGTGAAAACAACACCCAGGGGCTGACCCCTCACTCAGTGACTTCTCTCTGCCAGGGCAACCTCAGGTGTGTCCCTCCAACTCTTCCATCTTCTTATCCTTATTTTATTATTCTTCTTGACCCATCTACCATAACATTTTTATGCATTGAAGGTGGCCTACTTATATAAAACATCTAATAATTTCTCATTTTTGTTAATGCTTTCAAAAAATTGTCTTAAAATGATTTTTTTTGTCAATCACTTACATTCTCATCTTTATGTTCCCTGTCTCCCATAGTAAAAAGCTAAGCATAAATAGAAATAGAGTTGTTTATCTCATCAGTGCTATCATTTTTGCTTGACTTGTGTTTTATCAGATTAACCACCACTAGAATATTTTAAGCAAGTACTTCCTTTCTAATTTATTGTCTGTCAGTGGGAAGACACTAATGAAGTCTGAAAAAAAATCTGGCAGGAAAATGTTTCTCAACATCATAGCCGATGCCATGCACTACCTAGAACAGATTTTCCTATTCCCTGGTGGAGAAAAAAAAAGCATTTATGTCTAAATTCAATTTTAGTGAAAGGAAAAGAATTATATCCAGGTCAAGTTCCATTTCGGTGAGGTTTGAATCAAATGAGATATTATATCTTCAAAATTCAGTGCTTGGCATGCTGAACACTCAGACGTGCTCAGTAGTTAAAACAGCATCGCACGGAGTTGAGATGCTATCACTTTGCAAAGGTGCGCATTCTCCTAGGGATGAGGATTCTATTCTGGGTGCTTGCCTCACTCAACATGCGTAGGCTCCACGGTTACCAGGGCTGCTTGGGTACCACAGCACCGGAGACACAAGCTCGCCTATTAGGAGAAGATTGCTGAAAAGTGTTCCTTGGGGACCTTCAGAGACAGCCTCCTGGTTGATCAAAGACCTACAGTTTTCTTCCTTTGTCCATATCCTACTCCATGTTTCCAAAATGATAGCAATTTTCTGCACGATTTCTTATTTGAAAAATGCTATGGTAGAGTTAGAAATCTGATTTTTTTTCCTGGCTCACCCACAAATTTACCCTCAATACTTTTGTTGTTCTTGTTTCCTAAATGGGGGGAAAATTATTGCTCCAATCGCCAACTATTTTATGTCCATTCAGTGAAACATTTTTTCTAATTAAATTTTTTTGTAACTTACCTATCATCAGAAATGATGGTCAGAGTGAGAAGGAAAATAGCAATGTGAATAAGTAAATACAAGTAAATACAAGTGCACAATAGATAGTACTTGGCAATTAGATGTCATGAACAACTTGAGACGAGTGAGTAAAAAACTGAGATATGGGAAAGCTGTAAGAGGGACAAATCTTGGAGGCAAAAATGAGGACAGGCTTGTTGTTAGACCAGGTGCATCTCTGTGGTGGCATCTTAGAGCGCTGGCAAGAAAGACCAGCAAGGGGTGTTTGGAATCCACTCTCTAGGAATGACAGCAGGAAGAGACTAGAGAAATTTTTAAAAAAAGATGAATGAGTTATGATACACAGTTTCCTATAGGTTTTTTTGGAATTAGATTATAGACTACTTTCACAATGAAGTGCTTTTTATGAATGTCCACTGGCACTAACAGTGGATGCCTTCATTTCTCTCGACCCCTAATTCTTCATACAAACATTCTTTGCATCTTGAAGTATTTAGAGTAAATATCAAAGCACTGTTAATAAGCATTTAAGGGCTTTTTAAAATAAAGGATGCAATTTAGTTTCCATCTTTTAAAAAGTAATTTAACTTCCTCTGTGCTGGTAGAACTCTAGCCACAGTTGTAGACATGATCTAATATCGATTTTAAAAAATATCTCTCTGCTTGGCTGGGGTAGCTCAGTGGTTGAGTATCTAGCCAGGACCCAAGAGGCCACCTGTTCTATTCCTAGTCAGGGCACATTCCCTGGGTTGTGGGCTCAGTCGCCTGTGGGGGGTGTGCAGGAGGCAGCTTATCCATGATGTTTCTCTTTCATTGATGTTTCTATCTCTCTATCCTCTCCCTTCCTCCCTCTCTAAAAAAAAATCAATAAAATATATTTTTTAAAAATAACCCTCTCACTCTAGCTGGTTTGTTTCAGTGGATAGAGCACTGGCCTGTGGACTGAAGGGTCCCGGGTTTGATTCCAGCCAAGGGCACATGCCCAGGTTGCGAGCTCAGTCCCCAGTAGGGAGCATGCAGGAGGGAGCCGATCAATGATTCCCTCTCATCATTGATGTTTCACTCTCTCTCCCCCTCTCCCTTCCTCTCTGAAATCAATAAAAATATATGTAAAAAATATAGCCCTCTGGCTACCACACCATGTGGGGGATAAATTAGAGTTGTTATAAGATGATGTGCTAGAAATATACACAGTAATGCATGTGAGAGATGATGGCAGTTTAAGTCTGAAATGGCATCAGTGAAGATGAAGGGAAGAGGATATGTTACAAGATAAAATTGTTTGTCACCAAAATTCGTATGTTGAAATCCTCCACTACCTCAGAATATGACTATATTTGGAGATAGGGCCTTTAAAGGGCTTATTATGTTAAAATGAGGTAATATGGGTAGATCCTAATTCAGTGTGACTTATGTCCTCATAAGAAAAGATTAAGATTCAAAGGCCTGGAAGATAGGCCAGATGAAGACCAACCGGGAAGGCAGTCATCTGAAAGCCAAGGAGAGAGAGGGAGAAACCTCAGAATGAATCTAACCCTGCTGACACCTTAACCCCAGACTTCTAGCCTCCAGAACTGTGAGAAAATCAAGTTCCCTTGTTTAAGTCAACCTAGTTTGTTATGTCAGCCCTAGTGAATGGATACAGAATGGATTCAAAATGTATTTTGAGTATAGAATTGTTAAGATCTGGGGGGTGGATTGGATGGTGAAGAGGGTGATAATCAAGATGGTAAAACTTCCTCGTTGGTTAATTGAGAAAAACATTTATTGAATGCTGGACATTTTGCTTAGCACAGGATACAAAGATGCCTGT